TTTGTCCTATTTTCTTTGTTACAAATATTATTCATGGAAGAAATCAAACCTCTTTTTTCGTATATTTTCATTTAACAAATATTTATAAATTTGAAATTCTTCTTTACGTATTTAATAAAACTTTATATATATGCATGTATGTATGTATGGTTCAGGTGAAAAGTAGGGGTGGGCGTTTCGGGTTTCAGTTCGATTATTTTCGGTTTCGGTTTTTCGGTTTTAAAACAGTTAAACCATTCGGTTTAACATTAGGGTTCGGTTCGGTTTGAAACGGTTCGATTTCGGTTCGGATTTAATTCGATTCGGTGTTTGGTTCGATTTAAGATCCCTAAATTTCAACATTTCCTAATTTTTCGAACATACTATCAAACAATATATATTCACATAATCCAAATTCAAACTCTAAACATTATATAACAAAATAGCAATCCAAAGTATAAACACAATACTAAGTACTAATTACCAAACATCAGTTAACGTTTTTGCACAAGCGACTCTTCAGTTGATTCAGTTGGAATATTTTTATTGATAGGATGAATAATCATATATCTGTATAGTTGATATTAAAAGAACAAGTATCAATTACTATATAGTTAATTTTTAGACACAATCTGTCATTGCTAGTGCACTCAAAATATATTCCAGTACTAGAAAATAATTATAGTGCATTGGAAATTAAAATTAGAATGACTGTAAAGCACATTAAATTTATAGAAAAACATGAAACTAAGGAAAATACTGAATATTGTAAATATAACTCAAGTTAGATATAATTGTGAGGTAAAGAACAATTGCGATAAACAACAAAAGTGCAATGTAGAAAACAAGCTATAAAGAAATCAAATAAAAAATTTAAGATTCGGTACCAGTAAGAATGAGAACTGAACGGCGGAGCAGGCATCAAGGAACTTGAATTTACTTTATTACAATTATTATAATAATAATAATAATTATTATTATTATTATTATTATTATTATTATTATTATTATTTATTAAAAAATTTATATAGCATTTGGTTCGGTTCGGTTTTTGCCAAACTGTTCGGTTTCGGTTCGGTTCGGTACTAAACCGTTCGGGTTACAAAATTTCGAAGCGTTCAGTTTTCTATTACTAGTTCGGTTCGATTTGGTTCGGTTCGGATTATCCGAACCAAAGTGCCCACCCCTAGTGAAAAGTGTAGATTGATCTAATCCAACCATTTAGATAGATCAACATTTGTGGATTGTTGAAAAATATTTGAGAAAATAGGCAAATAAGTTTTATAAATATAAAAAATTTGAATGTTTGTAATAATTATAAAATTGATTTTATTTTTTTTTTACTAAAACTCTGAATAATTCATAAATTTGATGAGTGATTGTGATCAATCCTCACCTTTTGCATGAGGACTATGTTCACACACAGGGGCGGACCCAGCATGGGGGCAGCTGCCCCCCCTCACCCCACCCCTACTCCCACCCCATATATAACCTTTGTATGTATATATGTATATATAGTTCAAGTTTTAGTATAAGTATAATAAAATAGATAAAAATTAATGAAAGATGACTAGGTCAGGTGGTAAGTCCTGTGCGTTAACTTTGTAAGAAGCCTAACTTTGTAAGAACCCTAGGTTTGAATCCTATCCTCAGCATGTTTGCAGACTTTACCACCTATTATTTAGGTGGATTTTTAAATATTAATTAATTGTGACATTTACACATATATATAACTTTCTTTTACATTAATAATGAGATGTGTTTATAATGTATTTTTTATTCGAATTATTTTATCAAATTAATTATGTTTCATATTTTGTTATGAATATTTTTTATAAAATTTTGATGTGTTTTATTTTTTGTCCACCTTCAACAATATTTATGGCTATTCTTTTTCGTTTTAATGCGTTTTGCCCGCACTGAAAAAATTTTCTGGGTCCGTCACTGTTCACACACACACGTACGCGCGCGCGCACACACACGCACAAAGGCACACTTTTTATAATGTGATATTAAATAAATTAAATATTACAAAAAAAAATTGAATCAAATTATCTTTACATATATAGTAGTCCACATGTCTCACGAATGATTAGACTTAATTTGATTCAATTTTTTTTATAATATTTAATTTAATATCACATTATAAAATTTGTGTGTATAAATATATATATATATATATATATATATATATATATATATATATATATATATATATATATATATATATATAAATAAGAGATCAAATGTGGCAATTGACTTTAGGTAAATGATGGGGTATAATCTCAACCATTGATCTAATTAAAGTCAACAGCCCAGATTAAACATAGATTAAATAAAACGCGGTGGCAATTTGGTTTATATGCATCTAGGTCAAATTTAACGTGCGTGGTTTTCCATCTTAAGGTGTGTGATTTTTGTGTTTAAGGTGCGTGATTTCTGTGATGTGTGCTTAAGGTCTGAAACTTAATGTGCCGTCAGTCTAAAGTTTTAGGTGCGTGATTTTTCTTCTTAAGGTGCGTGGTCTGTGTGTTTGGTGCGTCGTCAGTTGTTGAAACTTAATTAAGGTGATCGGTCTAAAGCTTTAGGTACGTTGTTTTCCTTCTTAAGGTGTGTTATTATTTTCCATCTTAAAGTGCTTCGTTTTCCTTCTTAAGGTGCTTTGTTTTCCTTGTTAAGGTGCTTTGTTTTCCTTCTTAAGGTGTGTCATTTTTTACAGTTTGCTTCTTTAACTGAGGACGCACATTTTTTTTTTAATTTTCATTGATTTGAGCCGCTGATCTAGATTTGATCAATAGCTCAGATCTAACCCCATCTTTCACCTCGGAGCATCTCCGCACTTGAATTGCGTCCTATAAATAAATAAATAAATAAATAAATAAATATATATATATATATATATATATATATATATATATATATATATATATATATATATATATATATATATATATAATTAGGGTGAGGTTCCTAGGAGAACCAACCTCCCCATGAGTCAATGAGAACCAATCTCATCCATTAAAATAATAGATCTATAGATGATATTAATTGGAAAATTAAAAATGCATATGTCGATATAGACATTATGATGTGTGCATATTAAGCGTGTGTTGTGTGTAACATAGGGACATACTTAATATGCACACATCATAATGCGTAATATGCACATGCACGTTTTTAGTCCACCAATTAATCTCATTCAGTCACTCATAGATCTATTTTTTTTAATGGATGAGATTGATTCTCATGGACTTGGTTTTCATATGATCTCTAATTTATATTTTTTGTAATAATACTGACTCTATTGCAATGCAGTATATGTTTATTACTTTCTCAACTTACTGAAACATAAAAAATCAATACCACCCCACTAAGGCTTGAACCTATGATCTCTAATCTATATATAGAGTGAGAATGATGGTGAGAAATTAGCAAATTAAAGAAAGATAGGATGAAAATGAGAGAAGCAAAAGTGCAAAGCCAGTTAGCCAGGTGTACTCACACAAATGAAAAATAAATAAATAAATAAAAATGAGAGTGGGGGATGGTCACAACTCAAAAGCCAGGCAAGGATTTGGCCCCAATCCGTGAAGGGGATGCAGCTAGCAAGCAATGCATGTTGTCTTTGAGGCTGTATTATTTTGTAGTTTTGCGCATCCGTGAGTCTGCTTCCTCATCTTGATGTGATTGGTCGGGTAAATTAAAATTTAAATTAAACACAATAATTTAAATATTTTCCTTTTTTGAAAACAATTATTGCGATCTATGAATTATGATGCACAAAAAATTTCAAAAAGTATTTTTGTATTTCAGACACATCCACATGCATAGGAAATTTATTACTCTATAGGACATTGGTCTAATAGATAAAAAGTTTCACTTAACACTTACTTTCAGGGGGGTATGATGCAATTCTCAATTTCTACTACGCATAAACATTATTAAGGATTTGAGTTTGAGTTGAATTCGATGTACATAAAAGTGTATAGTTTAATGTTACCTCCTCTTAGATGTAAGGGCGTATTCATGAGGTATAGTAATCCATCAAAGTCAAAAATAATAATAATAAATTGAATTATTAAAAAAAAAAAAATCTCTAGTCCTTTAATTTTCTCATCTTTGTTGATATAACCAAAAGATCAATCCATACATGGTTTTATTTTTTTCATTCTTTAAAAAAAAAAAAAAAAAAAAAAAAAAAAAAAAAAAAAAGAAAGAAGAAGATGCAGTGTACTAAAAGGAGTCGTGTTTATTCTACTTTCGGTAAATAGAGTATATACAATGGCATTTTTACCTTTTGTTCTTGAATTTGATTTTTTTCTATCTTTAGTTTTTTGACTTAAAATAAACATTTCACTTTTAGTTCAAAATATCCAAAATGCCCTTAAATGTGTTAAGAGTAAAGTTCAACAAATGTTTCATAAAATAAGGGCTTTTTAGGCATTTAAAACTAAAAGTAGAATATGTTTTAACGAGTTAATACCTAATTTTGTCATCGACCATAGTGATTTTTCTTGATTTAGTTCTAAATGACTTTTTGTGCTTAATTAGGTCCTCGCATTCAAAAAAAAAAAGTGCTTAATTAGGTCCTCGACTTCGATAATGTTATCCAATTGAGTCCTCGACTGTTAGAATCAATTACTAAATCGAGAAAAATCATTATAGTCGATGACAAAATTGGATAAAGTCACTATAGTCAAAGACTAACTCGGGTAAAATTACTATAGTCGATGACTAAATTGGGTATTAATATAATAGAGGTGAAATTACAAAGCTATTTTAACAAAGAACTCAATTGAGTAAAACCATCAAAATAGATTACCTAATTAAGCACAAAAAGCTGTTTATGAGTAAATCGATTAAAACCACTCTAGTCAAAGTAGAATTAACAAATAAAAATCAACATTCAAAAATAAATATTGTTAGAAATAAGTGTAAAATTAGATTTTGATAATGTAATGCACAAAATAGGTTAGAATTTAAACCTCTAGATTTTCCGTTGTAAAATTTGACTAAATTAGATGAGTTAATTCCACCGAAGGTCCCTTGTCTTTGGTTGTAATTTCAAATTTAGTCTCAGACTATTGTTTTTGTCATTTTACATCCCAGACTATTGTTTTTTGGACACTTTTAGTCCTTCTCATGATTTTTTCTATTTTTAGTAAGGGCATTTTTGTCTCTTCATATTTTTCTTTTGTTATTTTCCGTTTCAACCAGTTTAATTGGTTTAGAACTTTAGGTAACCTCTGACTTTTAGTAACCATATTTTTCAACAAATTTTTAGTAAAGTCCTAAACCAATTAAATTGGTTGAAACCGGAAAAATAACAAAAGAAAAATATGAAAGGACAAAAATACCCTTACTAAAAATAGAAAAATTCATGAGAAGGACTAAAAGTGTCTAAAAACGATAGTCTAGGATGTAAAATGACAAAAACGATAGTTTGGGACTAAATTTGAAATTGTCACCAAAGACAAGGGACCTCCGATGGAATTAACTCAAATTAAATCATAAGACTATATAGCTTGAGTTGTTGCAATATAGGTTAAAGTAATACTACAAGATTAAGCATCATGGATTACTCAAGTACTCAACGCAATAGAAGTTGGAAGATGATGTATTTGTTCACGTCAGCATATAACAGAAGTTGAGTACTGGCAAGACTTTCTATAGCAGCAAGCTTCTAGCAAGACTTCCGACAACATGACTTTTAAAGTAGTAGAAGTTTTAGGGCAACACGAGTTATCCAAACAGCAAAGCTAGACCAACAGCAGAGGATTGCTAGCAATAATAGAGAATTCTACAAGTAGTAGAGAATCCTAAGTAGCAAAGGTTTTAATAAATAGTACAACTTATGAGCAAAGAAGGGTGATAAGTAGGAGACATGCATTCCGAAGATGACAATGAAAAAAAAACGCTTCTTATGAACTATGATATGCAGTTCAGCTCGATTGGTAGGCTACTTTCTAAAAAATCGATCAAATTTCTCACTGAGCTAAGATTGGATGTGTATTTTTGGACGGAAATATTGCCAATTGACAGAAGTACGGAGACGAATATATATCCATGTGGTGTACATGCAAGACTTTTCCATCAAAGTTTGTCTTGTTTACGTTTGGCCAAATCATTAATAACTTTAAAGAAGCTTTAAGTTCCTTTGAGGACCCCAGCTTCCAATTTCTGAAGTTGTTTTTTTGTCAGACGGTAAGGAATGACTTACCATTCCATCGAACTTTGTTGTAAACGCTTCTATTTATTATGATTAATGAATTAGGGCGCTCTTATTTTTAAAAAAATAATCATCAAGACATTCTCTATTCAGGACACGAGGTACCTTTATTGCTAGTTTTGGATGTTGACACGTAGATCAAAGAAGATACTTGCCCAATCAAGTAAAGTTGCATGCTTTTGAAAGAGATAAAGATCAATTTTATAAATAAGTTGCACGCAATGATTGGATACAAGTCTACACTTGACAAATTAAAACATTGCAAATTTCTAAGTTCGAGTTTGTCGATCTCACTCCAACGGAAAAATATGAAATCCAAGTATATATAAATGGGAGTGATGTTGAAGGAGAAAGCATGAGATAAATAAGAGATCATGTCAAGGGCATTCAAGCATTAAAAGTTTTCTTCAAGATCAAGATCTAGTCACTCAAAAACTCAAAAAGCTTCAATTGTTGACACAATTTACTTAAGAGTCTTTCAATTGGAGAAAAATCAACTCTCGATTGATCTTTGTTGTACATCTCTACACATGGTTGTTGAAAGAGTAAGAGTAGCAAACTCGTGAAGTATTGTGAAAACTTTATTAGCAAACTGTGTGCTAACTTTGTGATCAAAGCACAAATTTATTTTTACTTGTAATTTGTGTGATGGATAAGATTACTAGTGAAATTCCTACTAAGTGAACAAGGAGAAAAGTATAGCCCTATCTCTTCACTTTAAGTATTTACCTTCTCCAATAGTGAAATCCTACCATACCCAAAAACAAAACAAAAAAAACAAAAAAAAAAAAACAAAAAAAAAAAACAAAACAAAAAACAAACAAAAAAAAACAAACAAACAAACAAAAAAAACAAAAAACAAAAACAAAAAAAAAAAAAACAAAACCAACCCCCAAAAAAAAAAAAAAAAAGTGGTAGTTATGTTCAAGTCTTAAAAAAATTTAAAAGAATCAAACATCTTAATTAATTTTAAGGTGATTTAATTTTTATATTTTTAGATAACACCAAACATGTTAATTAATTTTTCTTGCAAAGTTATTTCCATCAATACATTCTTTAGAAATATTCTCCTGGCCATAAATATAATTCTTGGGAAAGTACTAAATGCCTTCCTAAGAAAAAATTATATGTACTAAATTTTATAAGTTATTTTTTTCTTATTATTTTAAATTTATTTCAGTGTTGAACATTCTGTAAACTAAAAAATGACATCCGAAAAAAAAAAATATTCTATTGATGGCGCTATGGGATCTCGGTGTTCATTTTGTTGGGAAAGTCTTGGCCCAGGGGAGATGACATAGAAGAATGATGGCCCAAGAAGTTGAAGGGGGGTGTGAACAGAAGCAAAATATTAACAAAGGTCAACCACATGGTTCAAACGCATAACCTCCAACATAACATCACAAGCACCAACCACCCAAGCTATTTAGGATATCACACATTAAAAGGTAGGATGCTAGCGATCTATTGACCCTTGTAAAGATCGTTGGCATCCAGGTAGTGTGGGGACACGTGTATGGTCAAGAATGAAGGCAAACTAGAGTCATACATTTGTCGAGCATCTGGAGCGGCCTCTACACTATAAATAGGCATCATCCCTTGGTCCTTACAATATATACATTTGTCGAGCATCAGAATGATGCCTTATTTCCTTTTAAGGCATCATCCCTTGTCCTTACAATCCTTCATAGTCAAATGGTATGGGTTCCTGACTTTCAACAGGAACACCAGGGTTTGATATTCATTATGTATTATATATTCTTTGGGCCGTATCTCAGACTTTGTACATACCATTTTAGACCTAGCACCCCGAACAATAATACTACTATTTTTCTACCTCGTCCCGACAAAACCATTGTCTATATATTCATGCAAGGATACTTCCTGTTTGGGCAACCCCGTTCTATATTTCAATACATGATCTATAGTGGACCTGGTCCCGACAAAACTATCATGTGTATATTCAAGCTAGGATACTTCCTGTTTGGGCAAAAAGTAAATAAAAATTAACCACATGCATCACATATGAGCCACACAATAGGTAGGAATTAATGAGCTTCACTTTAGACCACAAATTTTTCTTGAGCAAAAGACATAGCACATTAAATAGTTTTGTTGTCCTATGTAAATATGGCCTAAAGTAAGAAATTGTGGAGGTAGATGAATGCAGTAAAGTCTAAGGCGGTGGCTAAACCCAAGAAATTGCATGGCTCCAATTCAACATTTGAGATTTACAGGGTCATGTCCCTGTGGCTGCAGTTGCATGCTTCATTTTTACCTTGTCAGATAGATCATAAGTGCATCCAACTGCACCATCTACATACTATGCATATGTTGAGTTGAGGTACAGAATAAGAGAATCTCTTATCATAGTACCCTTGGGAATATGCAATGCGACAATGCATGTCACGTGGACTTGCAGATGTGAGAAAAAAAAAAATATATATGTTTACAAATACCAAAAATAATAATTACTATGCAATTATATGATTTATGAAAAATAGTTTCGTTCATAAATTTATATGAAATAGTGGTATCAGTCCTTCAAAAGGAACCAGAAATGTCACCTTATAAAAAAAAAATTGAAAAGTTAATAATGCTCGTATTCACAATTGAAAGATTAGAATCATTATTTTATATAAATATAGGAACATAAAACATTAATTATTTCCCCTATAATTTAACAATAATTGTCCTAAAATTGTGACAAATAATCATAAGAATATCTAAATTAATAAATCATATTCAAAAATTTCACTAATATCCTTCACCATCTAACATGGCAATAACACTCTTGTATTCATAGGTTACTGTGAATACACTAATCCCATTCCATGATTATTTAAAAAAAAAAAAAACAAAAAACAAAAAAACAAAAAAAACAAAAAAACAATAAGGCTCAAATATATCACCAAATTACATGAGAAACTGTAACTACTGCAACTAGACCATCCAACTCAAAATATGCAATTGAGTCCTAAAAACAATCATATAATTAAATCAAAATTAACCTATATTCTCTTCTACAGATGACATGGTACTAAATTCATTAAGGAAAAAAACATAATTTTAAAATTTATTTTAATAATTTTAAATAAAATAATGTTTAAAAATAAAAAAATAAACCAACCCCCTACCCTGCCTTCGTCTATAGGCTAAACAAAGTTGTTTTCTTTGTCTCCGGCCGAAGACGGAGACTGAGGAGGGGAGTTGAGGGTTTTTTTTTTTTTTTTCTTAATAATTAAATTTATTAAAACAAATTTAAAATATTAATTTTTGATTAATTATCCACCAAATTAGATTGGGAGAACATATCAATTTTAATTTAATTGTATACTTTAGATTGTTTATGGATCTGATTATAATTTTTTGAGTCGAATAACTTAGTTGCAGTTTTACGTGCAGTTTGATAACTTATTAATCAAATACGAATCATATATTTTTCATACCAAATGGAGAGAGATTTTGACAAAAAATTTTGATTTTGTAATTTGATTCATCTACAAATAATGTTTTTAAAATTTTCAATAAAAAAAATAAAAAAGATTGTGCTACACAGTACACACACGGCCGGCCCTTAATTTTACCACTCAGAAACCCATTACTCCATAATGTGGCAAAAATCCTACACATTAGTAAAATTAAAATTAAAAAAGAAAAACTAATGCCTAGAATTTTGCCACATCATAGAGTGGTAAAATTAGGGGTAATTAGCATTTTTCAACAAAAAATACTTATATAATGAAATCCCAAGGTAAATTATACTATAGATCATGGTCTACATTACAATGTGGATGTCAAATAAATGTTCATTTTTGATATACTAAACATTCATTTTTAATGTACTAAAAGTTCATATTTTATCTAAAAAAAAAATTGTTTTTTTTAGTATATCTAAAAATGAACCTTCTATACATTAAAAAAAATAATAATAAATAAGCATTCAATGTATTAAGATGAATTTTCACTATACTAATAATAAATCTTATGTCAATGATTTATATCGTAAAGTGAACCATGGTCCATGGTGTAATGATTGAAATCCTTAACCTAAGGTCAGAATTTTATTCATTCTAGTATAGCCTGCAAATTTCCGCAAATTATGCTGTGGACTCGTGTCCACAATGCATTGTAGACACAAATCCAAAACGACGTCGTTTTCAAGAAAAACGCGACATTCCAGTTTAAAAAAAAAAAAATTGATTTTGTGTCGCCGTTAACGGCATTATTCGTTTGTTGCATTATGAATGTACAGTTATGAAATTATGAACACAGAACTCTGACATTATAAACTTACAATTATGAACATATAGTGATAAAATTATGAACATAGAGCTCTAAAATTGTGAACATAGAGCTTCGAAAATTATGAATGTACAGTTATGGAATTATGAATGCACAGTTAGGGAATTATGAATGTACAGTTATAGAATTATGAATGTACAGTTATGGAATTATGAATGTACAGTTATGAAATTATGAACACTGAGTTCTGACATTATGAACTTACAATATGAACATATAGTGATAAAATTATGAATATAGAGCTCTAAAATTGTGAAAATAGAGCTTCGAAAATTATGAATTTACAGTTATTGAATTATGAATGTACAGTTATGGAAGTATGAATGTACAGTTATGGAATTATGAACACAGAGCTCTGACATTATGAACTTACAACTATGAACATATAGTGATAAAATTATGAACATATACTCCTATAACGAAGCGGTATGAAATTTATATATATACTAGTTTTTTACGCGCATTGCGCGATTGGGATAATGCCCAATGCTTTTTTGTTAAATAAGTACTTTAAAGTATATTAAGACAGGATTATATTGCAATTGTTCATGAATTTGCGTATTAAAATAGGTAATTCTTCTCCCAAAGGTTGAGTCCCCAATCCCAAGGTCCCCCCACACTCCGACCCGACAGAGCATTGTGGGAAGTTGTAAATCACGGTGACTCAATGGTTCAGCAGACAGGGCCAAATGCTGATACGCACAAGGAATCTGCCCACTTTGGACATAATTCCCGCACTGCCGCCGCCGAGGTTCAAACCTTGGTCTCTTCTCCCAAATACTACCCACTAAACCATTGAGCTAAGCCCGTACGAGTTAAATAGGTAATTCTAAGTTTACAAATGCAAGATAATATAGTCAAGATTGATTATAATTGTCAATAAAATAATTGTATAGGTATAGTTGAAACCAAATACGGGACATAAGGGAGAACAAACAAAAATTAGGGCATAAAATATTAAATATATACTAATACTAATATTGTTTGAGGAGATTCCGACATTAGGATTTGTGGTTAAGTTCTATTAAGACTTTAATATTAGAATTAGATTAACGGTGTAGTTATAATTCTATATTAGACTTTAATATTAGAATTAGACTAACGGTGAATTAACGGAAAAGTTAAATGGATAATCATATAATTAAGGATAAATTAGAAAATCTTAAAAGAAAAAAATTTAAACCTGAACAATATGAACCATTCATTTGATTTAATAATTTGGCGATCATTTTTTATACCCAATGTTAATAATTAAATAAATAAATTCGATGGTCAAATCCGCTAACGCTAACCGCTAACTGCTGATTGTCAAACAAGGACATTGCGAGGTAGTTCTCACTTCAATTTGTTGTGTGATTTGAATACTTTCTTTGTCACAAAATCTCTCAAAGTAGTTAATATGGTTGGCTTTATTAATTATATTTTTTAAATTTTTTCATGATATTAATAAAATACTTGGTAAATAAATATATAGCATTATTTTGTATTATAACTTTGGTATTTAATTAGAAAAATAGTGCACAAAAAAGATAATAGATAATGTAGTGAATATAATCAATTGATGAATTTGAATGTAAAAATTTTTACATTTGAGAAAAATTAAGACAATTTAACTAATGAAAATATTTCTTTTAATTAATTTATTGATAATTAATATTTTTTTTGCACTGAATAAAGACATTGTAAGGACAATGTAGCGAATATAATCAATTAATAAATTTGAATATAAAGAATTTTTATATTGAAGAAAAATAAAGACAATATAACTAATAAAATTATTTCTCTTATTTAATTTATTGATAATGAATAATTTTTTTTGAATAAAGGCATTATGGACACATAATTCTAAATTAAAGAAATGCATATGTATTATTTTTTGTTGTAACTACTAAATTATTATTTATATCTACTATACTAATAAGAGCCCAAGAGAGTTAGGCCTATAATGGGTAGAAAAAATGGCGGTCACAGATTTTAATCAAATGAATGACTCAGATTGATTAAAAAATTGATCAGATTTAAATTTAACACTAAAATTTCCTAAAATACCCGCACACCGTTACTAATTCCGTTAAAATTTTAAGAATTGCCGTTAGTTCACCGTTAACTTACTCATTGATTTCAATAAAAAAAAAAAAAAAAAAAAAAAGTCTTAGGTTCGAACCTCATCCCAATCAAAGTTGGCATAATTAGTACTCTATTTTACTCTTATTAAAATATTATATAAATAATAATTTAGTAGTTACAACAAAAAATAATACATATGCATTTCTTTAATTTAGAATTATGTGTCCACAATGCCTTTATTCAAAAAAAAAAAATTATTCATTATCAATAAATTAAATAAGAGAAATAATTTTATTAGTTATATTGTCTTTATTTTTCTTCAATATAAAAATTCTTTATATTCAAATTTATTAATTAATTATATTCGCTACATTGTCCTTATAATGTCTTTTTTTTTTAGATCTAGAAGGAAGGGGGTAACCCAAAAGTACAAAGTTTAAGTGGCAGCAAGATGCCACACCGGAACGCCAAATTGATCGTCTTCAAGTCTACTAATAAGATCCTCAGGGGGATTGTCTAGGATTGTCGTCCGATGGAGGCCAGGATGAAGCTTAGCAACACTATCAGCCAGATGGTTTTGATCTCTTGAAATGAGGGATAAGTGCCAAGAGCCTGCCGACTGAAGCTCCCTTTTGCATGCATGAAGAATATTCTCTGCAATACTGCTGACTTTATATCCATTGTTAATGGCATCCACAATGTGTTTTGAGTCACTTTCAAAGCAGGTTTGAGAGCTCCCAAGCATCTTTGCGAATTGAATTCCTTTAAGCAAAGCCCATGCTTCTGCCACCTCTGGTGTACATAGGCCGATGGCGTGAGTGAATCCCTTAATCCATTTGCCTTGGTCATCTCTTGCCAAACCTCCACATGAGGCTCTGGACGTGGCAATGTCGCAGCACCCATCGATATTGATTTTGATCCAACCCAATGGCGGTTTATTCCATCTAAGAAGCTTCCACTTGGTAGGGGCTGCACCATTCAGAATGCCCTCAATATTCCCAAAAGCTCTGCCAACCTCAGCAACTTTGGCATGGATAAGGAAGATCTTCTGCCTTTTGTCAGTGTTTATGTAGTTGAATATCCTATCATTTCTCCAAATCCATAACATCCACGCTGTAATTGCAAAGAAAACACGCGAGGTGTGAATACGGTTACCCGGTGACAGACCTCTAATGCCGTCATCGAACCATTTATCAAAGGTCGTTCCTGGATCGTTTTTTAGCCCCGGGAGGATGTCTTGCCAGATCCGTTTCGTCTCTGGACAGAAGCGGAGTATGTGTTCTATTGTTTCCTCACTATTTCCACAAGCCGAGCATACTGCAGAGTCCGTAAGGCCACGCTTTTTCTTGTTAACATTGGTCATGATGCGGTCGTGCCTTGCCATCCAAAGAAAAGTGAGAATTTTACTTGGAATTTTGAGACTCCAGATGCTGCTCCAGATTGGATTAGTGATAGGCATACTACAATCTGTGCTTAACTCGTAGGCAGCTTTTGTTGAGAATTTATTAGAGCCGTTGTCCCCCCTGCCCCAGGAATCCTCATCCTCTGTGTCTTCGCTCAAAATAATAGCAGATAGACGGCTTATGAGGCTAGCTGGAAGATTGCTGCCAATTTTTCCCCAGTCCCATCCAATCTCTGGAAGCCAGTAGTCTGCAACAGAAGCGTAGAGTTCCGGCAGTGGTAAGCAAGGAGAGCAAAGCTCGTAGAGAGGCCGGTGACCAAGCCATGCATCCATCCAAAACTTAGTCCTTTTGCCATTTCTGATTACGATCCTAGTGCCTTTGACAAGCAGAGGAACTGCCTTGATTATTCCCTTCCACACGTTTGACATGTTGGCCTTCGATCTCCATAGCAAAGGATCCAAAGGGTGTACGTTGTATTTTGCTCTTAGAATATTAGCCCATAAGCAATTTTCTCCTGATCGAATCCTCCAACCCAGTTTTGCAAGGTGTGCGATGTTCATATCTTCCAATCTACGGATTCCTAGACCACCTCGTTCTTTGCTTTGCGTAACCAAATCCCATGCAACTAGGTTGCATTTCCTATTATTTTCCGAGCCACCCCAGAGAAAGGCACGGAGCAGTTTATCCAATTCTTTGACAACGCCTACTGGTAGAAGGGTGGATTGCATGGAGTATTGAGGAATAGCAGTCAGGACAGATTGAATGAGAATCCTTCTACCTGCAAAGGAGAGCGTTTTCATCTTCCAGCCAGTTAGTTTGTTTTTTACCTTCCCTATGAGTTCATCAAAGGTTCCTTTTTTGATACCGCCATGCAAGGATGGAACACCAAGATATTTGCCTAATTCATTTGCAATTGGAATGCCAAGGAGGTTCGAGATCCCCTGTTGAACAGTCAAGGGTGTATTTTTAGAGAAGTAAAGAGATGATTTGAGTAAGTTTACCCGCTGTCCAGATTGAAAGCAAAAGGAATCTAAGCAATGTTTTATGAGGGTGGCCTGGGAGGTTGAGGCTTGGCCAAGTAGAATCATGTCATCTGCGAAGAACAGGTGCGTGAGACAAGGAGCATCCATTGATATTCTTATACCCTCCCATAGACCCTTACTCTTCATATCATCAATGAGGTGACTCAGCCTTTCAACGCAGAGTACAAAAAGCAGAGGTGAGATCGGGTCTCCTTGCCTAAGCCCTCGGGAGGGATTGAACCATTCTGAGCATCTACCGTTGAAAGATACAGCTAGTTTGGAGGATGATACACAGTGCATGATGTTCCTAATCCAATCCCGATTGAAACCAATTACTTGCAGCGTCGATCTGATGAAGTTCCAAGATATTCTGTCAAAAGCTTTTTCAAGATCGGCTTTTACCAACATCCAACCAGTGCTGCCTTTTTTCGTGTTCATGGATTTCAGTAGTTCTTGATAGATAATAATGTTGTCAGTCGTCTGCCTTCCGGGAATGAAACTAGATTGAGCGGGGCTAATCAATTTGGGAATTACTTGCCTCAATCTAGATGCCATGACTTTTGTAATTAATTTGTAGGATGTGTTGCAGAGGCCAATCGGTCTAAGCTGTTTAACAGATTCCGGCGATGTTACTTTAGGGATCAAAGAGATTATCGTATCACTACTTCCTTCCGGCAACACACCATTGCCGAAGAACTCCACGACATAATCAACCAGATTTTGGTCAAGCACATGCCAAGCATGTTGGTAGAATCCCGCATGGTAGCCATCCGGTCCGGGAGATTTAAAAGGTGACATGTCGAACACTGCCTTCTTCACTTCCTCATAAGTAACTGGTTGGTTAAGTCATTGCCAGTCAAACTCTTTGAGTCTGGGAAATTTTCCTATGAAATCAACATTCTCTGGACAGGAGGGATCTGCTGTGAATAACATCTTAAAGAACTGACTAACATGATCAAGCGCTGTTTCTTCGTTGGGAAAGGGATTTCCTTGGTCATCTTTCAGTGAGTTGATTGATGATCTAGATTTATTCACGGCTGTAGCAGCGTGGTAGAACTTCGTATTACGATCACCTGAAGAAATCCAATCCTCTCGAGACCTTTGAAACCAAAGCATTTCCTCTTGATACAAAATCAATTCGTATTCATCGCGGAGTTTTCTCCCCAATCTGATGAGATCAGACCTAGCGTTAGCTGCTAGACCACGCTGAACACCATTCAGCCTTGCAATAACCCGCTTTTTTCGCTGGAAAAGGTTGCCAAAAGTGTCACGATTCCAGGACTCAAACTTTTGTGCTAGTTGTCTCTTGTTAGTTTCAATCCCAGACGCAGGGTCCTAGACATCTTTCACCATGTTCAGGTAGTCCAGGTGGGTGGTCCACATAGCATTGAACCTGAATTTCTTAGCATTGTTTCCATTAGTTCTGGCAGTAGTTCTCAGCAGAAGAGGAGCATGGTCGGAGCTAATCATTGGCAGGTGAGTGATCTCGGCATCTGGGAATCTAGATTTCCATCCAGTGTTGCAGAGTGCGCGGTCTAGCCGAGCACCTTTGAAGGAGGAGGACTCAAGTCCTCTACACCAAGTGAGTTTTGCTCCTACGAAACCCAAATCAATGAGGCCTTCTCTGAAAATCCAATTGCCGAAGTCTGCACAGCGAGTAGAGGAAAAAGAGTTATTTTTTGATACTTCATCTTTATTTAGAACTGCATTGTAGTCCCCCATGGAAAGCCAATCCCCATGAAAATTTATAGAGTCCTGGGAAAGAGTAGCATAGAGCTCCCTTCTGAGTGAATAGTCTGGACTACCATAGACCAGTGATAGGTACCAATGCTGCTCATTCAGGTGTGAGACCCTAAGCAACATGAACTGGGGATGGGTGAAGTGGATGTCAACCATAGAGGTGGCTTTCCAGAACACCCAAATGCCCCCGGAGAAGCCAAATGCTTCAATCCTAGCCCATTCATCGAAGCCGATGGAAACGCAAATTTTATCAGCATGTTGGCCTGATACCTTTGGTTCGAAGAGACAAAGGATATCAGGCTTGTGATCTCGGATTAATTGTTTAAGGGTGCGGTGAAACTTCCGTGACGCCGCACCTTGGCAATTCCATGAGAGTACTATCATAAAAACAAAGAGAGAAAAAGAAGCATGCTCAAGAGAGCATGCGAGGATCCCCCTGAGAGCCAAAGTTGGCCGCGCCCTAGTTATCTTCTTCCATCGTGTCCTTTGGTGTGTCACAATCAAAAAATATTCCCCCATCTTCTGGAGGGACGTTCAAGATCGGGGCAGTAGTGTGGTGAGGTGGTCTTAGCTCCGGGGGTCTAGTATTGTGATGAACAATGGATCTGATAATGCTCCCCCTAGAGGAACTGCGGACGAGCACGTGTTCTTCCTCTGCAGCAGCTCGTCTTGGTGTACTGGTTCTGCTATCTCGACCTCTAGCGGTGGTGAACTGTGGAGATCTGACTTCCTTTGGTTGGAAATCTGGTTGAAAGCTTGATTCAGGTTCCTTGTTGCTAATATGAACTCGGGGATGGATTGTCGCAGGGGCCATTGTCTGAAGATTCTGGGATCTAGGCGAGCTGGGTTGATTATCCATGACCACATCATCGGTCAAGTCATTCAGTGGTGCAAATCGGGTAGTGAGCGGGATGTTATGGGAGACGGGTTTGGGGTCGGGATCTCGCGGTTGATCTGGGGCCGTCCTCAAATCTTAGACTGGCCTCCTCTCAGGTTTCTTTGGATTCCTTCGTTCCTTGCGTTTGACAATCATCCATGAGCCAAATTTGTCAGTGTAGGGACTGGGCGTATTTCTTGTTTTCTGCTGAGCATTCTCTGTTTCCATCTCTGCAACTTCTGCTGCTTCAGGCAAATTCGGAGGATCATGGGTCCTCCCATCAAGGCCACAGAGTTCTTGCTTATGGCCATATAATCCACACTTGAAGCATATCATGTGGATGCCTTCATACTCAACATGGTATACTTCATCCGCCAGAGTGAATTTAGCTCGCAATGGTTTTGAGATATCGATCTCAACGCAGACACGGGCAAAAGTTCCTCTTGACGCTAAACATGTTGTCACGTCCACTTTGATTGGTTTGCCCAGTTGGCGACCAATCTTCATGAGGAATTCTTCCTCGAAGTACTCTATCGGCAAAGTTGGTAAGCGGATCCATGCTAAGAGCTTTCTTGTTACGTTGGACGTGGGTTTGAAATTGGGTTCCCATTCTTGGACGATCAAATAGTGGTCTAGCAACATCCAAGGACCTCCTAACTTGACGTGATCGTAGTCGTTTTGAGACTCAAATTTCGCTAGATAGTATCCATGAACAAGGTCGATCAGTTCCAAGGAGGATTCAAGTTTCCATAGCGTTTGCAGGTGCCGGAGAAGGAGGTTGTAGCCTACCGTTCTCCCAAGAAGATGAATGATGAGAGTTTTGCGCCACGGGCGTCTTAGCCTCTTCTTTTCCTCTTTAGTCACCAAGATTCTTGGACAGTCAGGATCATCGTTTTCGACTGGTTTATCATCATCTGAGACGTCCTCGTCCAGGGGAGAAGGTTCTATGCTCTTGCGGTTCAAGAAACCCGTCAGACTTTGCCTATAGCTTCCCGGCGGTGGCATAGTGATATTACTATTGGGGTGTTCCGTCGGTGCATCCAGTGGTGTTTCCGGAACGAACTCCGGCAAGGTGTCAGCGGTGGTAAGGTCTGGTAGTCGGTCATCACGCTTAGTCTTTTTTGGATTGCGTTCAAGGACTTCTTGAACCGCCGGCGGTTGGAAGCCGGCGACCGGACGATCTTCGGGAGAGAGCATTTCACGTCATGGAGAGAAAAAAAATCCTTACAATGTCTTTATTCAGTGAAAAAAAATTATTAATTATCAATAAATTAATTAAAAGAAATATTTTCATTAGTTATATTGTCTTTATTTTTTTCAAATGTAAAAATTTTTACATTCAAATTCATCAATTGATTATATTCACTACATTATCTATTATCTTTTTTGTGCACTATTTTTCTAATTGAATATCAAAGCTATAATACAAAATAATGCTATATATTTATTTACCAAGTATTTTATTAATACCATGAAAAAATTAAAAAAATATAATTAATAAAGCAAACCATATTAACTACTTGAGAGATTTTGTGACAAAGAGAGTATTCAAATCACACAACAAATTGAAGTGAGAACTACCTCGCAATATCCTTGTTTGACAATCAGCAGTTAACGGTTAGCGTTAGCGGATTTGACCAATGAATTTATTTAATTATTAACATTGGGTAAAAAAAATGACCGCCAAATTATTAAATCAAATGAATGGTTCATATTGTTCATGTTTTAATTTTTTTCTTTTAAGATTTTCTAATTTATCTTTAATTATATGATTATCCATTTAACTTTTCCGTTAATTCACTGTTAGTCTAATTATAATATTAAAGTCTAATATAGAATTATAACTGCACCATTAATCTAATTCTAATATTAAAGTCTTTATAGAACTTAACCACAAATACTAATGTCAGAATCTCCTCAAACAATATTAGTATATATTTAATATTTTATGCCCTAATTTTTATTTGTTCTCCCTTATGTCCCGTATTTGGTTTCAACCATAACTATACAATTATTTTATTGACAATTATAATCAATCTTGACTATATTATCTTGCATTTGTAAACTTAGAATTACCTATTTAACCCGCACGGGCTTAGCTCAATGGTTTATTGGGTAGTATTTGGGAGAAGAGACCAAGGTTTGAACCTCGGCGGCGGCAGTGCGGGAATTATGTCCAAAGTGGGCAGATTCCTTGTGCGTATCAGCATTTGGCCCTGTCTGCTAAACCATTGAGTCACCGTGATTTACAACTTCCCACAATGCTCTGTCGGGTCGGAGTGTGGGGGGCCCTTGGGGTTAGGGACTCAACCTTTGGGAGAAGAATTACCTATTTAAATACGCAAATTCAACCTTCAATTATCTATGCATGAACAATTTCAATATAATCCTGCCTTAATATACTTTAAAGTACTTATTTAAAAAAAAGCATTGGGCATTTTCCCAATCGCGCAATGCGCGTAAAAAACTAGTAATTTAATAAGAGTAAAATAGAGTACTAATTATGCCAAATTTGATTGGGATGAGGTTCGAACCTAAGACTTTTTTTATTGAAATCAATAAGTTAACGGTGAACTAATGGCAATTCTTAAAATTTTAACGGAATTAGTAACGGTGTGTGGGTATTTTAGGAAATTTTAGTGTAAAATTTAAATCTGATCAATCTTTTAATCAATCTGAGTCATTCATTTGATTAAAATCTGTGACCGCCATTTTTTCTACCCATTATAGGTCTAACTCTCTTGGGCTCTCTTATTAGTATAGTAGATTATAGGCCTAACTCTCTTGGGCTTTTATTAGTATAGTAGATATATATAAAGTGAAAGATAGCAGTGCCACTAACGGTACTATTACCGTGTTCACAATGCATGTTGAACGCGGGTCCATAGCATAACAATTGGCAAATTTCATTCCACTCCTATAATATTCTTAGCCCATTTTTGTATATCTTGAATATCGTCAAGACTCCTATAAATTGGGGATTGCGAGTAGCATCACCATGTTGTTGTTCGCAACATTTAGGCCTGTTCTATATTTTCTATTTTCTATTTTCTCAGTTTTATTCTCTGTTTTCTATTTAGAAAATTTGTTTATTAATCTTTTTTTTTTAATTTAGTTTTTAGACTAATGTTATAAAATTGACACGTGTTTAAATAAAATAAATATAATTTTTACTTTTAAATCTACTTTATGTAAGATTTTTACATTTGATATCCAAACTAAATTTATATCCATATATAAACATAACTAACAACATATCCGAACCAATAACCTATTAAGTTCACCAAAAATTTAGTTTAGATCTTATTAATATTTTTGAGCTAATATTTAAAATAATTTTGAATATATTCATTTGAATGAAATGTATATATATAATTTTCTTTGAAATCTAATATATATGAAATTTTAATATATGATATCAATACAAAATTGTATTACGATTTACGATATAACATAACTAAAAATATCTGAACCAATAATTTATTGACTTCAATCAAAATATAAAACTTGGTGTAGAGTTCATGTTTTAATTGTGATAATCTGAATAATGTCTAACTTTAAGCGTAGACAAATAAGTTATGTTTATATAAGTAAATGCATGTAGAAAATATAGAAGATATTGATAAGTAAAAAGAAGATGATAATGAATGTAATCATAGTATTGAATAAATATGTAAGTAGATAATGGTGAGAATATGGTTATAGTGATATATAACCAAACAAATGATATATAATTCTGTTTTCTATTTAGAAAACAGTTTTTAAAAGTTCTCTAGTTTTCTAGAAAACTGAAAAATGTTTTCAGTTTTCAAAATGAAAAATTGTGCTAATAAATATGTTTCCTGTTTTATATTCTTCAATTCTCTAAAAAACTAGAGAAATTCTTCAGCTAGTAAACAAGCACTTAATTTTTGTTGCCTACAACAGTTCTTTTTTTTTTTTTTTTTTGAAACAAAACAGAACCATACCATTAATTACTTAACAAATCGGAAATACAAGCGGGTGGGTTGCTAAACCACACCTCCGAGCCAGACGTAGAATCGGTCGCCCGAGCTAACTCATGAGCTACATGATTCGCTGTTTTCTTGACATGAGAGACATTAACTGTCCCAATGTCCTTAGCAATCGATCAACATTGCTTTACAATCAGACCAACATAAGAAAAATCAACATTAACAGAATTGAAAACGGTGCATAGATTTAAACAGTCGGACTCAAGCATAATATTATTAAGATGTTGCTCCTTCTGCCATGACCGCAAGGGCCTCTGCCACAAACGGGTCTCGTTCGCTGCCTAGTCGTCCTTTCTTTGCTGCAACAAACTTGCCTTCGTGGTCACGGATAACAGCGCCAAAGCCAGCTCCGTCTCCAAAAATGGCCGCATCAACATTGCATTTGAAAAGTGTTCACTGGCAGCAGTACCCACTGAGCCTGCAATAGCGGCCTTGCCGCTATATTACCCAGATTGGCGTAGACCGTGCGCCAGGTAATTTGAAGATCGACCACTCGTTTTCGTGTCGCCAGCATTGACGGGGCTTTGTCATGCCAAACCACGTCATTGCGAGCTTTCCAAACTGCCCAGAAAACTGCTGCTAACTTCGCTGCGCCCTCCCTCGTTGAGGTGCCTATCACATTGTCCATGAAGTCGAGAATATCCTTGCCTTGTAGAACTTCGTCCAGCTCCCAGACCCCCTTCGCAAAGGCACAGTCACAAAATAAATGGTTTATCGTCTCAGTCACATAACCGCATAAATATTGGACACCCTCCTCCAATCCAAATTCTCTTCTGTGGCAAGTTGTCCCGTACCGGCAGCACTTTAGGCGGAATTGGTAGCGCCCAAAGAGCTTTCCACGCCTGAAAATTACTGCCAATTTCATTGTGTGACGTCTCGCCTACTAGTAAGCGATAGCTGTGTTGGACAGTTCTTTTGCTTGTTCACAACATATATTGAATTCAAAAAATATGTTTTTTATTATTACAT